TAGTGGTCATCCACGTCACTGCTGCTGCCGACGCTATCCAGCTCGCCGGGGCCGAACTCCATGCCCTCCACGTCCACTTCTGGGGAAGCAGAGAGGACGGGGTTGGGCCCTGAGGGTGCCAGCTGGGCTCCTGGCAAAGTCAGGGCAGGTCTCTGCCTTTGAGGGGAATAAAGGCTCCAGGGGGTGCAGGAGAGACGGGCTGCAGGTCTGGGCCTCGGTGGGCAGGTCACCCCCCCCCCATCACTTCTGCACTGCACGCCAGGCGTTAGGACAGCCCGGGGACACGCTGTCACTGGGGCACCTGCCGCCCACTGCCTCACCCCCACTCCCTCCGGCTGCCTCCTGGCCAGCCCCTCCTCCCAGCTCCCTCCCACCCCCATCCCCGCCTGGGGCTGCAGGCGGCCTGTGCCCACCTTGCTCCGAGTCGTCCGTGGAGACAGCGGAGCCTGTGCTGTCTGTGCGCACGCGCTCCAGGCTCTGCACCGACAGCTGCTCCAGGCGCCGCTTCAGGAAGCGGTGTTGTCGCTGCAGCTGCTCCTTGATGCTCAGCGCCCTGCGGTCCTGCTCCTCCAGTTTCTGGAGGCAGGAGGGCTGTGAGCCTAGGGACCTCCTGCCCCATGCTGGGGCCCAGCATGGGGGCCCGGAGGCCTGGGCAGGCTCCCGTCCTCCACCTGGCCTGGGTCCAGGGCCCCAAGGGCCCCAATGGCACCTGCGTCCCGGCCTCAGCCCTCCGGGTGGTCACACTAGGTCCCACCTCCCAGCCTGCGCTCTGCTGACCAGCCAGAGCCCCACCGCCACCAGCCAGCGTGGCCAGCCAAGTCCCCTGGGAGCCTGATGCCCTGGGACAGCGCCGCTCAGGCAGGCGGGCACTTCCTCCCAGAGGACAGCGCTGCCCACCGCCACTCTCCCCGCCCACAGGGCACCCTCCTGGCCCCTTCCCCTCGCCACACCTTCCCCTGAACCCCTGAACAGAGACTGCCTGTCGGAGTGCCCCCGGGCACCGCTGTGCCTCTCAAAGCTCCCATTACCCTGCCTGGGGTGCCCAGGACTCTACGCCCCAGGGGCCCCAGAAGGGGACTGAGACCACCCTGGTTTGCCCAAGTACCACAGGCCCCAAAACCAGCAGGTCTCCGTCTCAGACCTTGGGGCCTGCCCCAGGCAATGCCTCACTCAGCCACACCCACGGCCAGCCTGGTTCCCAGAAGCTCCCCCACCACTGGGCACCTACTGCCCATGGGCCTCCCAGCATCGAAGGCACCCTGCCCTCCTGGCCCCACTTTCACAGCCCAGGACCCCGGAGGGCCATCTGTCACCCTCTCCCCCTCCCCCCCACCCAACAAAACCCAGCGCGTGCCCATGGCATCCTCACCCCTCGGCAACCCCTGGTGCTGCCCACCCCCACCCTGAGACCCCAGGCCCCCAGTGTGCACCTGCCGGGCAGCTCCTACCCACCCTTGGGCCCCGTGGGCATGCTCCCAGGTGCACAGGGCTGGACTGGGCATCCTCGTGGCTGGCAGGGTGGTGGCAGAGGGGGCAGCCCTGCTCACCTTGATGTGCGTCTTGGCGCGCTTCAGGAGGCTCAGTGTGGTATGGCGGGTGCTGTCGGGGCCCAAGGGCACCAGCTGCTTCAGCTGCTCCAGGTAGAGCCTGAGCTTGGCTCGTCTGAAAGAGCCAGAGACAGAGCGTCAGGCAGGCTGCTGAGGGGCCTGTCCGGAGCTCCCTTCCCACCTGGCCGCAGCTCCCCAGGCCTCAGGGCAGTCTAGCCCCTCCGCCTCCGAATGCCCCAGAAAAAGAAGAGGACCCGTGGCCAGGGCACTGCCCGAGCGCCCCAGCACACCCTGCTGTCACCACCTCCATGTGGAGTTGGGCAGGGGACAGCCTGGAGGAGGTGGGGAGGGGGCAGCCTGGAGGAGGTGGGGAGGGGGCAGCCTGGAGGAAGGGGGGCAGGGGC